GTTCTTCTGACTCTAGTGCCCTCACCAAAAGATCATTCTTTCCCTTGACTTCTTTATTCCCTTTCCCCTACCATGTGTTTTTCTTATGCCAGTGTTAGGGACTTTCCCAGTGATATGCAGCTTTCTCTTCCCTGTTGCATTGCACAAGTGTGTGCCCATCTAGAACTTCCTTTTGTTCCTGCTGCACATTGTAGCCGCCCAGCACTTTTTCCTGGGACCACGCGTGGAAGCTAGACTTTATTCCCCTTCCAGAAGCCTGAGTCCAACCAGAACTATAGGAGAGAGGCCATCGTGCATATGAACAGTGTTCATATCCGTGAATATGAATGTCTGTGGAATTCATCCTAATGTTGCTCATTACTCTGTGTGTAGATACAGCAGTATGAACCCATTCTCTGGCATTTAAGGGTGAAAAAGAGGTCTGCTCTGTCAGGACCTAGCTGCAGCAAACGCTGTAAGACAGGATAGGATGGTGTACACCAGACATACCTTATACTGTTATAAAGGTTGGGGAAGACCACTAGTGCTGGCAGCACAATCAGGGGGTTGAGAGAGGGAGGGGGGCTGGCAGCTGACAGCAAGTAGCATCGGGTATTTATTAAGATCACAGTGAAATGCTATTCTTTGGCACTGCTCTGACGGTTGGTTCTTATCTAAGTGTATCACCGCCGCAGAAATCTGAGAGGTTTGCAGTCATTTAAATTCTCCCACAAGGAGTGGGGGAAAAAACGTTGGCTATGGAGAAACAGGTGGTGGGCCTCACTGCTTTTAAATTAAAGAAACACCTTGGTGTGTTTTAAAATAAAATTAGCCACGCTGTTTTGCGTGCTTGGTTCTACTCGGGGGCTCTGAAAGTAATTAGGCAACTTCAGTTCAGTGAAACTTGGGCATGTTTTGTTTTCCTTCTTCGGGTTTCTTTGGGAGCCTGTTCGAGCTTCAGATTCCACAGGTAGGGCTGGGAAGGTCCGGCTTCCCGACGGCTCAGCTGCTACGCAACAGACCTACAGGTGTGTTCTGGCATTCTTGTTTTTCACTTGAGCAGAAAGCAAACAAAAAGGCAGCAGATTAGGCCACAGAGAGGCACCAACAAACCAGGAAGGGGGTGGAAGTACATTCAGCCGACATAGGAGGTCTGCGATGTCCTCACAGAAGCATTTGTCTTGTTTGAGAACTGAGACAAAGTGTCTGTATTTCTCAAAAGTAAGCCTCGAAGGTGCCACCCTGCCCTGCTTTCTGCCCGGAAACTTTACCACCCGCCTGGCTGAAACCTACCGTCGGACTGGAGATTATTTTTAAATCACCGCACACAGAACAGCCGTCGGTGTTACGTGCCGTGGTTACGGTAGCTCCACCTGCTGTGACGGCCGTTTGCATTTTTTGTTTGACAGATATTTCATGTGACTAAATTTAGCCCTGGCATTGGCTTAAAGAAG